TCGGACGCCCCAGCACACGTGACACAGGCATTGTGAGGACAGCATATATATGTCCATGCAAAGTGACACATTTGACAGCCAGCTCCATCTCTGTATGTGGTGTCTTCTCCCCTGGCTGCCTCTGTCCACTCCCAAGACCCGTCCCGTGAGCCACTTACACTGCTAGCATCTGTCACCTCGTTTGCTCAGAAGAGTTCAGAGAAAGTCAGCTTGTCCCTAGGAAGTCCCGTGTCCTCAGCTCTTCTTCTAGAGGGTTCTGATGGCCGCAGGATCTAAGCTCATGGTCCCTGGGGGTGGGCCAGGGCTTGCAGGGCTCATAGCCACTTAGCAGGGCGACCTGTACTGGTTGAGCTTGGGCCACTGCAGCGAGTGAGTCCTTCGGGTTTACCTCGACTTGGGTCCTGGCTACCACACTCCAGGGGGAGCTCTGTGGGTGCGCGAGCCCCCACTGGACCACCGCTTTATGTGGTGGATCCCTATGCCCTGGCCAGCTGAGGTGCCTGCTCCATGAGGGACACAGGATCAGTCCTCACTAGCCTGGGGGGTCAGCTCCTCTGTGCAGGTGCCTCCAGTGTTACTGGGACAGGGAGCCGCAGGTCAGCTGTCAGGCCTGTGCTCCCCACCTGCTGGGTGAAGGAGAGCGGGTAAGAGGGCGGAAGGCAACAGTCAGTGAAGAGCAGGCAGGAGCCTGGGGACAGGGACATGGGGGCCTTCGCGCTGACTGATGGTCCACAGTGCGCTTCCTCCCGGGCTGGCGGCTTCGAGTGTAATTTCATTTAACTGGCACCAGAACCCCAGGCGGGAGGTGTTTGTTTCAGGTTGGGCTCCCAGAGCTGCCTCGGAAAGGAGGATTTATGTGAAGATGATTTATTAAGAAGCATTCCCAGGGAAGTTAAAGCTGGAAACAGAGTCGGGGGTGGGGGGTTGGGGCATGCAGGAGACCAACAGAGGGCTCTCTGGCTCCACTTTGCAGAGGGGTTCTGGACATCACTGAGGTCCACAGGAGGTCCCAGGCAGGGAGCAAGCCTGCTGGGAACTGTCTCCGGGGACCCTTTGTCCAGGATAGAGGTGTGAATTCTGGACACCCACAGTGCCAAGCAGGGCTCAGGCAGCTGGAGTCCTGAGGGGGTGCCATTGGGTGTGGACATGTCTGGGGGGGGGGGCCCTGGAATCTGATGTGCACAGGACAGGAGAGGGGTGCAGGTGGAGCGTGCAGCCTGGCTGGTGCTCAGACACTGTGAGCGCATGGAAGTGGCCAGAGGAGGGGAACAGGCTGCCTGGGGCACTCAGCCAGAGTGCCACAATGTGCTTGCTGATGCGGGGAGGACTCTCACTACCCTGGTGCAGACACTGCTGGGAGAGGAAAGGAGGGGGTACTGTGAAGGGCAGTCAGCGGAGCAGGGGCACCCGGGCCCCGAGCTGGGCATTGGGCCCTTGAGGCCTGCGGGTTCTCATGCAGCCCTGGGTACCTGCCCCTTCTTGTCACCTTTGCCAGGCTCTGTGTGAGCTGTAGCCTCTGCAAAAAGACCACAGCCTAGTGCTCTTTATCTCCACTGGGGAAAAGAGGCTTAACAAATTAGCTGCTGCTTAATTGGTGCGGAAAGTAGGACAGCGAAGCTGGCCAGTTGTCCTGTGGGGTTTTCTGATCAATTCCCTGGCTGATACCTTCCCCGTGTGAGTCTGACACCTGGCGGGAAGGCTCCTTTGGGGAGCTGGGCTTCTACCTGCTGCCTGGGATCTCCCTGCCCGACTCAAGTGGTCCACAGTGGTGGCTCCCGTGGGGCCGCCAGAAGCCTCCTCACCTGCACAGGTGTAGTACATCTTCCCATGCAGAGAGCAGGCATCCTGGCCAGCAGGGCTGGGGGGCAGGATTGGGGCTCGGATTGCACACTGGGTCCCAGGAACATCACGCCACCCAGCAGATTGGGACCCCGATCGGGAGTCTGGGGTCTGGCCTTTCAGAATCACCCGGGAGGTGGCTCTTTCCCTCCAACTACCTGGAGTCAGGACATTCTCACAGATACTAAGCTGGTGGCCTTCCCTGGTTATTGGAGCTGTTGGTTTAAACTCCGCGATCAGGGGCTGTGATGAGAAATTCCGGTCTCTGTGTTCACAGACACCACACCTCCTCTAGCTCACCTACTGGTCTCAGGCTGACATGGTCCTCGCTGATGATGAGGCCACACCAAGCGGTGTCCTCCATAAAGCTGGGTGACCCAGAGGACACCAACCAAGGGCAGAGTAGACCCTTCACCCCTGCATCGCAAGGGTCTTAAGGGTTTACCCAGGGCCTCTCAGGCATCCCCCATCTTCTGAGTGTGAGAGTGGCCCCCAGTCTCCTGCAGGCGGGGGAGGCAGCCTCGAGGTCTGTTTGAGTTGGCACCGTGGGCAGCTGAGGATCGGTGTCATGGTCATGAAGAGAGTGGGACAGGGGGCTTGCAGGGCCTGAAGAGACTCCAGGGGCCAAGCTGGAGTGTGAGGTGGGACCTGCACACAGGAAGTGGGGATCCCTTCTGGCCCTTGCTTCCTGGGAACGCTGGGGACAGGACGGTGCCTTCTCTGTGCCTGATTCTCCCTGAGGCGAATGACAGGGGAGCAGGTGTCATTTCCATTCTGCAGACAACCAGAAGGACAAAGGGCAGCGAGGTGGCGGTCACCCCCTTCCGATCCTGCCTCTGTGGGTATTCTCAGGGCCTGTCCTCTTCTCATTCATGGGCCGGAGAACAGAATCTGCATCTTTCAGGTCCCCCAGGCCCAGGGGAGCCTTGCTCCCCTGGGTGCAGCTGGAGCTTACCAGATCTGTCCACGCCCTCCACCTCACCACCCTCACCATCGGACACGCCCAGGGATGCTGGGTGAGGTTCTCTGTTGCCCTGTGAAGGGTCCTGGGCAGCCTGGGACCCTGCTGGGCTCTCTGGCTCTCATTTGTTAAGTAAGAGTCCAACTCTCGGTCAGCCCACTCAGGACTGCTTCTGTCTCTCTCCCAGACAGAAGGTTTCTTTCTCTCAATAAATATATTCTACTTTAACCTCTATTGTTCCTAAAATTCATTCTTCCATTTTAGAGGACAGAAGCTTGTACTGGACACCCAGTAGGCTGGGAGTTTCCTTTCCATTTATCAATTGGAAGTCTTCTACCGAGATCTTGGATGGAGCCTTAACGCTGCACACCTACCTAAGACGAAGATGCCTAGCATCTGTCTACGCCTTTAGACAGATCCTCTGCAGGGCACCCCTGGCTGCCGATCGACTATGATGTGCTCCCTTCAGCCTGAGGAAGTCAGATTGGCATTGCTCATTTCTTCCCCAGGGCAGTTCAGGTTACTTCTGTGTGGGAATGTTATAGGCAACTGAGATAGAAACGTTATGGGCAGTCAGGCGGGGCTGGACCCTCGAGCCAGTGTGGAAGGCTAGATACCTTGTAACCATAGAGGAGGTGGATTCCTCAACTGGGAGCCAGACCTCAAGATAAAAAGACAAAACAATCGCAACCACACCCTAAGTATCAACATCGGGGATTCATAGTCTAAATATGATCACCTTCAGGAGCCGCTAACCCAGCTACCTACAGGAAAAGTCCTTTCCACTTGCTATGCGACTCGCTTCCCATTTGCTGCCGGTTTAATCAATTCTACTTGAGACATTACACTTGTAATCTTATTGGCTGACCATAGCTCTGTCCTGCCTCATGCCCGGTGGACCTGCCTCGCCTCATGGTTTTGCTCTATAAAAATCCCTGGAAAAGGTGGGGTCCTTGCAATCCATTTGGGACCCCTTCTTGTCTCTGTTGGACAGAAGCTTTCTTTCTCTCAATAAGTATATTCTGCTCCAAAAAGAAAACAGAGTCTGAGTCTCAGTACGGGCCAGGAAATGCTTTGCTAATAAACTGAGGAGTCAAACATGAGAATGTTAGCCTGATGTCATCTGGCATGATTTTAAGGAACACACCTGTTTGATTTGACTGTGTGGGTAGCCTGTTAGTGGTGTGATGTAGATGCTTTTTCTGCTCAGGAGTCACTCAAAGAACCTACAGGGGATGATTCCGGAGGGGCCAATGGGACATTTTTACTGCAGTCACGTGTTCTTTTAAATCAGAGACACACTACGAGATGATTTTAGACATTTTTATTTTTCTCGTTGAAAGAGAAATAAGCATTCCATCATAAGAGGCAGAGTAATAATACTATGTAAGCAGAGGTGGGCAACCAGCTGTTAGCTCTCACCCAGGTCACAGGTGGCCGGCCTGGTGCCTGGTGCTCCAGGGAGGGAAAAGCACTCATAAAACACACAGGAATCAAAGTGAAGAACGGGGTGCGCCTGCCTCAGGCTCCTGCCTCGTTTGTGCGTTCGGCAGTGTTGATTGTACACCCACTATGTGCTGGTGATAATGTGAAGTTCGGGGACCCGGCTGTGACCTAGGAGAGGGGACCTTGCCTTCTGCCAAGACAAATGAGTAACCAGTGAGCTGTAACCATCCGAGCCCAGCTGGGCTCTGTAACAAATGGAACAGGGCACAGTCAGAGAGGGTGGGTGGGCAGCTTCAGGGCGCTGGGAGACCCCAGAGGGAGGTGGCTCCAAGGCCCAGCTCAGAGCCCCTGTTCACTCTGCACAGCCGGATGAGCTGCCTTGAATCCAGCGTCTAGTTTCCTGATGCTGCAGCCTGCCTCGGGCTGATGAGGGAGCATGGAGGCTCCTGCAGGAAGGTGTTTGCGGGGAAGGCAGGCCGCCTGCGCTGTGGCCCCGAGACCTCCATGGGAGCTGCTCCCCTGACCTCACACCAGGTTGGTGTGGGAGAGTGACATGAACTGGGGGATCAGATCTCTGCGTCCAGTTCATGCCGCCAGAGGCAGAGGCTGAGGCAGAGGCAGAGGCTGAGGCAGCTGCAAAGGGCCTGGGGGGACCGTGGGTTGAAGAGCAGTGTTTACTGCCCGTCTTACTGCCTCCCCGGTGCCTGCCGGCTCCAGCCTGCTTCTATTCACCTGAGCTTTTTTCTCTCTGCAGGCCGTGGAGACCAACCTGGCTTCCAAGGACAGCCACTGGGTCTTTGTGAACGAGGTAAGAGCCCTGGAACAGGGAGGGCTTGGCCAGTGCCGAATCGAGCCCTGGCCCCCCGGGAAGCTCAGAGCAGTTCCTCTGCTGTCCGGTTTGACCTGGGGCTCCGACTGCCAGGTGACAGGCTGGAGGGCTAGGCTTGACCTTCCAAGATGCTGGCTCGGAGCAGGTGGGCAGCAGGGGAGAATCCAGACCTGAGTTTGGGGAACGTGTGGGGCAGGGAGGAGTGGAGTGAGGTGGGGCAGCCAGTCAGGGGCTGGGGCAGGCTGGCAAGTGTGTGTGGGTGGGGTGGAAGCCGCATTTCCTGCAGGCTGTTAACGGTGTGTGGGAGATGTGTGAGTGTGTGTGAGTCCAAGCAGGAGTACATGTGTGTTTGTGCATAGATGAGCCCATGTGGATGGCATATGTGATGGGCACATGTCTGAAAACGTTTATGTGTGTGTATAAGTTGTACATGTGTGTGGTGTGGGGCACGAATTTGTAAGTGTAAAGTGTACACTTGTGAGTGTGTGGTTATGCACTGTGTATGATTGTATGTATATGTAAATGGATGTGTTATGTGTGAGTTGTTGCTGTGTGAATGAGCTGTAGGTGCATACATGTGTGTGTTTGAGCGTGCCTGTGTGAAGGTATGTGTGTGGCTGTATGCATGGTGGTGTTGGCTGTATGTGCATATACAGGTATTTGTGCAAGTGTGCATGTGTGTGAACTGCATTTGTTTATGTATGAGCACATGTGCATATGTCTGAGTGCACACAGTATGCAAGCCAGTATGTGAGTGTGAGTGCACATGTGTGTATGCATGTATTTGTGTGCATGTGAGTGTACAGATATATGTATGGGTGTGCATGTTCGTGAGTTGTATGTATCTGCGAGAATGCTATATGCATATATGAGCATGTACATGTATTTGGGTGCACATGCATCAGTTGTATTACATGTGCGTATGCACATGTGAGTTGCATGTCTGAGAATGTCATGTGTGCATGTATGTGTGAATGTGTAAGTGCATGTGTGATTGTGCATGATTGTGTATGTATGTGTATAAGTGTGCATATATGTGTGTATGCATGTTTATATATGTGAGTGCATGCACGAGTGTGCCCATGAGTGCGTGATTGTGCCTATATGTGTGCATGTGTGTCTGCATGTGCATGTATACGTGCATGAGTGTGTGTGTGCACATGAATGTGCATGACATGTATGCGTGTGTATGTGTACACATGTGTGTCCTGCATGCGTGTGTATGCATGCGCATGTGAATGTACATATATGAGTATGCATGTGTATGAGTGTGCATTTGCATGTGTGCACATGTGTGTGAGTGTGCATGTGTGTGAGTGTGTAAGTGTGCCAGTCGTCGTGAGTGGGGTCCCTGCACCCATTCGTGGGATGGCTGGGAAGCGTGTCTGTATCTGGCTGTCTGTCTGGCGCGGTCCCAGGCCCCTGGGACCTCTCGGTGTCATTGGCCTGGTCTGTTCTCTTGTGGATCTTCTTTCTGGCCCTGGGCTCCCCGCAGGGCCAGCCCTGCCCGGAAGTGGCCTGTCCCCACATGCCCCAGTTTTTGTGTCCTCTTGGGAGGGAGCCCAGGCAGCCTGTGGCCCCAAGGCCATTTCCTGTGGCAGCCAGGAGGAGAACGTGCTTCCCTGGGCTGTGGCCCCAGCACTGCTGCTTTCCGGCTTCCTGCAGGAGGGCACGGGGCTTATCACGCCCCGGGCGATTTTCTCACATGTGGTGCCAGCCCTTTCTGAGCTCAGGGTAGCATCCTGGCCAAAGTCTCAGTGCTGATGTTGATGCGTCAGATTCCCATCTCGTCAGCTCTGTGTTGGCCTGGGCTGGGCGGAGACATGCACTGTGGCCACCCCGTCCCCGGGGTGCAGATGTGGTGCTGGTCACAGATGAAGGGATGTGACCGCCCCTCCCCACTCTTCAGAGCTTGCGCCAGGCCTCCTTGATCCCCGACGTCTGGATTCTCTGTGCTCTGCCGGCTTTGCTGCAGGGCCTTCAAAGCCCGCCATCCTTTGTTCCAGAGCAAAGCTGCATTCCGGGGCCTCGGAAATCCAGTGTCCAGTGCCGGCTTCACGTTTGATGACTCCTCCACAGTGAATAGCCAGTGTTTCTCTGCTCGTCTTCAAAACTGAGCTTCATCTCCACATTTCTGACGGGTTTCCTTGCTCCCGAGTCCTGCCACCCTGGCTCCTTCACCTGGGGCCTCTGCCTCTCGCTTCTTGCTGTCCTTCCTGGGCGGGGTTAGTCCGGACGCCACCTGTGAGTCCCTCCCACGACACCCCGTACTCAAGCATCCTGGAATTTCTGGGGCAGCTGGAACCTAGGGCTCAGGGTCTCCGAGGAGACAGGTGGGGGGCCCCTGTCAGCCACCCCAGAGCAGCCACGCCCAGGGGGCCTGGCTGGGTCACAACAGGTCAGCAGTGCATCCTGGGCCAGCCAGGCTGCAAGGACCCTGGAGTGTCGCCGGGGACCTCTGCCAGTCTCCTTTCTTGGCTTTTCTCTCCACAGAGGACTCTTTCCCTTGAGTGGTAAATGATGACCCCTAATGCCTCTTTACCAGCTGTGGCACACCACACACTTGTCAGTGCCTGTGTATTATGATCTTCCTGGGTCCTCAGCGATCCTTTGGAGGGCAGTTACCATCATCCCCATTTTACAGGTGGAAAGACCAAGGCCCTGGAGGACATGCAGGTTTTCAGTAGTGCTTGTGCTGTTCTGCGTGAAAACTGTGGCACCACCACTCATGTGGTTGGGCAGAGATCTTGTGGCTGTGGTCAGTGTCCGATTTTGCAGAGCTAGGCAGCAGAGCTTGGGTGTGTGCTGTGGTGCGGACACCTCAGCTGGCCTTCGGTGCCAGTGCAGGGGTGTTTGAAGTCTGTGATGTGAAGGCAGAGACTCTTTACAGCTTTGACCCAGGCCTACAACCTCTGGTGGGTGGCTGAGGCGGTCTCTGAACCCTGTAGGTGTACACCCGGGAGCCGGCCGCATCCTGAAGGACAGCTTCCTCTGCTGGCGAGGCCTCGTGGAAGACAAAAGCCCTGACTTTCTTTGTGAGGCTACATCACTTTAAGCTCTGCAGAATTTTAAAGCTGTCCAAACACAGAGCTGCAGACCTGTCACTGTCAGTTGACCCTGTGGTCATGGGGAGACCACATGTGGTCAGTTGACCCTGTGGTCATGGGGGAGAAAGCAAGGGACAGGCATTGAATGGTGGGCCGCCTTTCCTCATCGCCTTCTGCATTCGGCTGCCTTGCGGGATCCCCATCTTCTCACTTGGTGAAAATGCTCCCCCGTCCCTGGTGGAGGTCCGGCCCCTCGGAGGGGCTCAGATCTGTGCCTCCCGCGTCTACCATGCTTGTCTTTTGGGATGCCGGCCTGCCCCTCTCAGGACGCCCTGCTCCCCTGTCCCTTGCGATTTCTGTCCTCTTGTCCTTTTTCTCCATTCTGCTTGGTCGGTGTGTTCTCCTGGATGCAGGAGAAGGCCTCGGGGCACCTGTTTTTGTTCGTGTCCCCGAGCACTGGTTTTCCTCAGTGTGTGCGTCTCCTCCGATCCCAGCTGCTCTGTCCAGGGAGGAGATCCCTGGACCCAGCGGAAGCCTGCAGAGTCCGTGAGCCTCGCTGGCGGTTCCTGCGGTCTTTGGGCTCTGCTGTGGGGACACTGGCGAGCAGATGTTTATTAGGATCGAAGCTGTATTTTCATTGACTGATGAAGTTGTAAGTTACATCAGATGAGGGTTTGGGGACTCGGAAGAACTTTTGGAAAATAAATTGAGCCATTCATCACGGTGGTCACTAGACTGGGCGTCTCTGGGGGGCATGAGCAGCTGTAGCGCGTTGCTGAATCCTCAATGCCGGGCAAATGATAGATTCTTAACAGGTCGGGCTGAAGCTGGTCGATGTGCGTGGCGTGTAGGAAATTGCATCAATGCGCACTTCCTAGTTTGCCTCTGAGAAAAGACAAAAACAGCAATTAAGAGCCGAGCTTCCTGGACGGAGGGAACCACACTGGGTCATCCATCAGAAGCTGCCCCTTTGAGGCCCATTGACTCAAATGAGGAAGGCAGCTTCTAGAACCTTCCATCGGCTGGACAAGGCGCTTTCTCTGCATGTGGTCTGCAGCGGATCCCAATCACCCTGACTTCTCTAATGCCTCGTGGGGACTCATCACGCTGGCTGGATTCTCAGCAAAGTGACAAGGGCTTCCCTCGGAGCTCTGCCAGCAGGCAGGAGACACAGGCGCCCGAGTCCGGCCCCTTGAGAGCGTCCTGCAGGAGGGCCTTTGTGGAGTCTACAGTGTTTTTACCTTGGGCTCTCCAGGAGCAGCTGTGTGCACTGGAGCTGCTCTGGTGGCGGCTCCGTTTTTAAATGAACACTTCCAGATGGGAAGCTACAGCGCACTTTATGGAAAATTGTTTAGGATGCTACCACGCAGTGCAGAAGCGCAGGCTGTGTGAGGAGAGCTTGTTCGTAAGGCGAGATCCCAGTTGCTAATTCTTAGTGGTGTTTCCTGTGTGATCGGGATTTTGTTCATGAATTCTCTACCTCTACCCCCTTCCTCAAGAGCTCTACCTGTGCTCTCTTCCAGAAGATTTAATGCTTCTGTTTTAACATTTGGATCTTCGATCCATTTCTACTTTAGTTTAGTGCATGGTGAGAGACATGGGTCTAATTTTAGTATCTGGAGTGTAGAAAACCAGTTTTTCTGGCACCATTTATTAAACAGGCTGTCTTTATTCCAGTGAACGTGCTTGCACTCTTGGTCAAAGATAAGGTGGCTGAATGTATTTGGAACTGTTCCCACATCCTCTAATCCGTTCTACTGATCCTCAGGTCTGGCATTTTTATTGTTTTACTTTTTTGGGGGGGCAGGACTGTACTGTTTTTATCACTGTAGCTTTGCATTATAATTTGAATTAGGATGCGTGATGTCCCCGCTTTGCCTTTATTGCCTAGGATTGCTTTTGCTATTCTAGGTCTCTCTGGTTCCAAATGAA